AGCTGCACGAACTGCTCACCTGCCTGAGTCTGAGGTGGGCGGAGCCTCCTGAACAACCTGCAGCTGCACGAACTGCTCACCTGCCTGAGTCTGAGGTGGGCGGAGCCTCCTGAACAACCTGCGGCTGCACGAACTGCTCACCTGCCTGAGTCTGAGGTGGGCGGAGCCTCCTGAACAACCTGCGGCTGCACGAACTGCTCACCTGCCTGAGTCTGAGGTGGGCGGAGCCTCCTGAACAACCTGCGGCTGCAGGAACTGCTCACCTGCCTGAGTCTGAGGTGGGCGGAGCCTCCTGAACAACCTGCACCTGCAGGACTTCAGCTGAGAAAAACGGCAGCAGGATGTCTGACCTGTGACCTGCAGCTACACTCACCTGGTCTACAGCGCAACAAGAACACCTCCAACCTCAGACCTCCTCACAGCTGCTTTTATTCTCAGGTAAAATAAAAAGTTAATTTCATGAATCATATTTATTATAAAACCTGTACAGTTCAGGACCTCACCTGTAGTCCAGTCTCAGGTGAGTCTGGTTCATTTTTACCTGCTGTAACATTAAATCATCTCCTTTAAACGTTAATGAAAAATTGATTTAATGAAGTTTAATCTGTAAACTAACAACACCTGGCACACATTCACCTGCTTATTCACATTAGGCTCCACCCCCTGGCACATGCTCTGATGAAAGATCAGTCTTTTACTTTGAAAGGACATCCCTTCAGTTCCTGTCTGTCAGTGGGCGGAGTCTGACCTGGCCTTGCCCAGCTGGTGCCAGTCCACCCAGTGCTGACCCGGGACCAGTCTGTTCAGGGGGATGATGGTCTCCCCCAGCAGGGGGTTCTCCCAGAAGGCACCCTCACTCAGGACCCGCAGGTGGATCAGGCGCTGGTCCAGGTCCCCCTGGGGGATGCGGTCATACACCAGCTGCAGGAAACACACAGTGACATCATCATCATCATCATCATCACTTCCTGTTCCTGTCTGTGTCAGAACCCTCTGAGCTAAAGGTTTGCCTCTGCTCAGAGTGAGTCCACATGCTCCTGAGACAGATCCAGATGTTTGAGAAGCCCCAAACATCTGGATCTGGTTCTGTTTGACCCTGGAGGAGGTACACCCACCATCTCGTTGTAGGTGGGGTTACAGGTGCGCCGTGCCGCCTTCGTCTTCCTCTTACTCATCTTCATGGGGTCCGGGAGCAGGTAGAGCTTCACGTAGGGGTCCGGATCAGTCCCGTCCTGCAGGGGCTGCTGCAGAACCAACAAACAGAACGATGTGAGAACCAGCACACACACAGACACACACACACACACACACACACTGACCAGGCCTCGGATGTGCATCACCATGATGAAGAGCTTGTCATTCTTGAAGGAGATGGACAGTTTGACTTCACCAAGTTCCTTTTCTGAAGCTGGAGACCACACTACCTCTACAACACACACACACACACACACACACACACACACACACACATGAAAGCTGTCAGCGTTAACATGAAAACAGAAAACCTGACTGATGTTGTCACAAACAGGAAGGAGCCTGATCATTAAGCTTTTATTTTGAAGAGTACTTCCTGTATGTAACCTTTACAGTCTTTACTCAGTCATTAATAAAGTCCAAACTCTGACCACAACTAAAGTATTCCCATGAAGCCTTGCACATGTCAGAGGCTCCGCCCCCCAGCTACCTGTGAGGTAAGGTACCTGCAGGTCTGCTGCTGGCTCCTCCTCCTCGCTCGTCTCGTGGCAGCGGGTGGAAGAAGGTGTAGACCAGGTCAGACTGTAAGACCAGCACAAAAAGGTCTTCAGTCCTCTGCAGGAACATCAGTCTCATTCTGTTCACAGGTTCCAGTCCTTCCTGTCACACCCACCAGGTGAACGCCTCCCGCCCCCCCCACCCGAGGACTCGCTGTGATTGGTCAGAAGTTTGTGTCTGTCAGTGAAACACTCTGCTGTCAGCTTTAACTGGGACAGATTTGTGTAAAAATAACAGCAGATCGAAGACGTTTGGTTTCCTGAGTGTAGACTCCAGCAGGAAGGAACCCCCTGCACTGACGTCTACTGCAGTGGGAGGGGCTTCCCAGGTGCTCGGCGCCATGCGTCTCAGGAACAAAGACGTGACCACATGTCCACTGTTCAGCTTCAGATGTGAACACCTGTAGACTGGGTTTACTTCTGTCTGTCCAGCCATGACTCACTTCAGGGTCAGACATCATCTTCATCATCTTCATCTTCATCATCATCATCATCATCATCATCATCATCATCATCATCATCATCACAGGCTGACCTTTGACCTCATGAGGTCACAGAAATATGAACCTAAGTGTCAGACGTGGCGTCACAGCTCCTCTGGAATGATCTGTGTTCAAACTGTCATCAGAAATATAAAGAGCTGCTGCACACACACAC